TGGCAGTCGTAAATAACACTGTTTTCCACACAAATGTGTCATTTAGAGATTGCGCCTCACAACAGATGTCTTCTAGAAGGACACTGGGGTGTGTGCAAGGGGCAGACCCCAGGGAGACTCAGTTGGGATTCAAGGTTGGCGCCCCGTGTAGGGTATGAGGGGCAAGGCATGCAGGTCTGCCAGCCTTGGTGTCCTTTTTTCTCTCATCTGAACAAGTCAACCCTGGTCACAGAACACACCATACAAGATGCCTCTGTAAGGAATGGTCAAGGATGAAAGTATTCACTTAACACAAGAGCACGGTCGCTTCTGGAAGCTTCAGTTGCTGGGAAAGGCAAGCCCTGGCAGCAGAAGCTTCAGCACCCCCAAACCCTTCCCACAGTCCTTCTGTCTCTCCCGAAGGGGGTGCCTCTTTTGCTCCAGCATCAGCCCTCTGTCCTCTTAGAACACCCAGGATTTGCCTCCCTCAGCATCCTCCAGGTGACATCTCGGCCCCATAGCTCCTCCTTTCTTTAAATGACAATCCTGTCAGTATTTTCCTGGGAACTGATCATCAGGGTGGCTTTCGATCCTAGCTTCCTTAGACTCACAAACTGCTCTGATTACTCCAGAGATAGTGAAACAAGTGTATTTGAAGTCCCTTTTTAGGTTAGTTGATGAAATTAACCCCAACCTCCTTGGAACATTGTAGCTAATTTCACTACCCGTTTTGCCTTTTGTTTAAAGAACTAAAGCCAGTTTTTAAAAAATCTTAATACTGTAGGAAGGAATGAAAAAGGAACACTATAAGGATGATTTTTGAGAACTCTTCCTATAAATATTGAAGGACATTTTAAGAAACAAAACTTTCTTTTTGCCTGTAATCCTACCCAAACATCAGAACTGTTTCATTTATCTAACTTCTGGCTTTTACCTTCAATCATTGTGAGGTTTGTTTTTTTTTTTTTTTTTTAATCCCTTGAGGCTTTTTGTAAACACTTAACATTTTGCAATATATTTGTTTGTAGCTTCTGTGTAATATATTCCATCAAAGTGAAATTCCATAATGTATTACCTAGTCCTTTAGTGCTAGGCATTAAGGCTATTTCCATTTTCTATTATAAATAATAGGACCAAGAAGATCTTTGTATATACAGCTTTTTTCCTATGTCTGAATGATATCCTTAGGATAAATTCCCAGGAGTGGGATTAGTGGGTCAAAGGGTATGAACAGCTTTATGGCTCTTAATATTTATTGCTAAATTGCCCAAAGGGTCATTCTAATTTACAATGCCACCTGCAACACATGAGAGAAGCTGTCTCTCCCAGCCCTTTCAGCACGGAGTTCTTCAGCCAGTGGCTTGGGGCAAATTTAATTGTTATTAAAGGGTAACTTGTTACTGTTTTTAATTGGTAGTTTCTTTAATTATTATCCACATTGGATGGTTTATCTTAAATGTGTTTCTTATTATATTCTATTTAGTATGGCTTGCTTTTTATGTCAGAGGATTATATTTTTTGACACTAGGTGGAATTTAAAATATTTTATCGTGAAAATGTCAAATGCACTCAGGACAGAGAGACTAATCGATGAAACCTCCTAGGCTTTTTACCAGATTCAACAAATAGCAAGGCTTGGCTCTGTTTGCTTTACTTGTCCCTTCTTTCTCTCTTTTTTTCCCTTTGTGTAGTTATTTTAAAGCAAGTCCCAGATATTCTGCTTGTGTTTTTTATGCTCTTCATTATACATCTCTGAAACATATGGCCTTTTTCTTATTTAATCACAATGCCACTGTCTCATCTAACAAAATTAATGGCAGTTCCTTGGTATCACTTAATACCTATCCTAAAATTTTCTGAAATGTCTTTAACATGTCCTTTTCACTGTTGCTTTGTGTCACTCAGTCTACGGAGAAGGCCCATTATGTGTGATGGTTGTGCTTCTGACGTCTTTTAATCTAGAGCATGCTTCTCCCCGTCCGCTCTCCTCTCCGACCAAGTTTCCCCCACCCAGTGACATTGCAGGACCCGAGTCCGTTGTCCTCTAAAAGTTCCCACATTATGGATTTGATTTTTTATTAGCTCCGGCAGCCTGGTGAGATTCGGTTTTAAGTGTCTTGTGGGGGTAAGCAAGAATACTTCATGGTGGCACAGCGCGATTTACTCCGTATCTCTTCTGCAGTCACCGTGGGGATTGTCCCGCTTCGGGTGATGATGCTGAGGTGGATTGTGGATTCAGGTGGTGACAGCCCAAGACACAGTTGTAAAGTTCCTCATTGGCTTTGCCCCTGACCCTTTCATCTATTAATGATGGTTGCTTGAGTTTCCTAGGGATTGCACAATGGTGATTTTCAAAATCTGTCACTTTCCCATTAACTGGAATTCTTCTGAAATGTAAAACTTTTTCCCCTCGTAAACTAGGACTTTTTAGTAATCTCAAAATGCGGTTTATACAAGAAAGGCAGGATAAATGCCTTATTCTTCCTCTAAATTGCCAACTTTTTTTTAATGTTTATTTATTTATTTTTGGGAGAGAGAGTACAAGCAGGGGCGGGACACAGAAAGAGAGGGAGATAGAGACTCCAAAGCAGGCTCCATGCTGTCAGCATAGAGCCCGACCTAGAGCTTGAACTCATGTACCATGAGATCATGACCTGAACCAAAGTCGGACACTTAACCGCCTGAGCCACCCTGGCACCCCAGATTGTCAGCTTTCTAAGTAAGCAGTTGGTTCCCTTGTCACTCCCAGTGATGTGCAATGAGTCACTGTTGCTGTTGGTTTTGTTTTTGAGGAGTCCTAAAGTACTCAGGGTCTTAAAAACATGTATATTTCATGTGTTTTACTCAATTACATTCATGATTCTTTTGACACTCCCATCCTTGGCCCAAGGGAGACACTTAACATATTTTTTTTTTCAGGCATAACAAGGTATCTTGGGTTCATCTAGCATATTTTTACGCCTTGAAATGAGCTGTTCCTCCAAGATGATTGGTGTTTTGTTGGTGAGGGATGGTATTTAGGTGCCACAATCTGGATGTATTCTGTGCTTATTGTTATTATTTCTAAGTTTTCTCAGCAGGCAGAGTTAGGAAATGCATATTTAACAAAGGAAAATAAAATACTATGAGTTCATACTGATATTTTCATTTCAAATTTAACAAAACTTTCTTTTTCGTTCTTTGGTTTCACATTTGTTTCTCTCTCTTACACGAAAAACCTTGATTCCAAACATTATTGTATGACAGTATTTCAAATAGTTTCAAAACAACAGGACCAGTATTGTCAACAGTTTTCCTAGTGAATAAGAGACTTCTTTGCAGTTCTGTTTATGTTTAGAATACATTCTACTAAAAACAAAGTCACATTAGCTCGTTCTAACAACACTTGGGTTCTTTTCACCAGTTTGATAGACAGTTAAGTTCCTTTATTTCAGTTTGTTTTCAAGTTCTAGGATTTGCTTCTTTTTTCCTTTTTCGTTTCATTTTATTGTTTGAATCTGAAAAATGCACTTTCAAAACTAAACGTAGGCAACAAGGTATTCCCAAAAAAGTCTTTCTTCTGTCTGCTCTGAGTTCCCGTCTCTCCCTATTGGCAGCTCTTTCTTAATAATTATGGTTTGTTTTATCTTTGCAGAATTTTTTTTTGTAAATATATATGCATTCATATGGACTCACCTGTTTTATACTGAAGTTCACATACCATATATGATCCTACAACGCACCATATCTGGTCTAGATATCTGCATAGCCATCCATGTCATGATGAGCCATGGTTTATTTAACCAGCCACTTATTGATTAATGGAGTTCTGTTTTCTTTGTGTCTTTTAAAAACAAAAATCCTTTGTCCACGTCATTTTATATTTTGGCCAGTGTGTCTTTGGGGATCTCTTTCTGGAAATGGGATTGCTGGGCCGAAGGGCAATGCGATTATACTCCTGTTAGATTGACTTCTAACAGAATTGTGTCATTTTGCACTGAGAAGGATTATTTAAAAAGATCTTGCAAATGTACAAATTCAGTATCCGAGATTCTCGGAAAGTTACTGTGTTCATCAACAGCACAAGTCAGTTATTGCTCGAACCTGCACACTGTTCCCACTATTGTTTATGATATAGCCTGGTACACAGCACCCTGGTTTCTGCTTTTTTTTTTTTTTTAAGTTTATTTATTTACTTAGAGAGAGAGAGTGAGCGCAAGCAGGGGAGGAGCACAGAGAAGGAGAGAGAATTCCAAGCAGGCTCTGCTCCATCAGCGCACAGCCGATGCAGGGCTCAGAATCACTGAAGTGTGAGATCGCAACCTGAGTCGAGATAGAGAATTGGGCGCTTAACTGACTGTGCCACCCGTCGCAACCTGGTTCCTGCTTTTAGGACATCCATGGTTTGTCTCTGGAACATGACATGAATGAAAAGCAAAGTTAGAGTAGCTGAAGATAGACTGTGTTGTAAAAACAAAGGTGAAAGCCCAGCTCAAGTCTCTCTGTTTAGGAAGCCTTCCCTGCTTATTGCAGACCACGTGGGTGATTGATCCTGTCAATTCCATTTGTACATTTAGGGACAGTGACCCTTATTCCAGGCCGAAACTTTTGACCCCTGGTTGAACAGATACGAATGTACTAACAGGAATAACAGGGCTGAATGTTTGAAATGTGGGCCGCCTCACAAATTTAAGCTGAATAATTATTTTCTGTAGAGCTGTGTTTGCATTCCCCAAAGCATGTTCTCTGGAACATACAGGGGACGTTAGTAAGGGTGACCCAGCAAAATCAGTGTGGAAATGACAGGTTAAACAAAGCCAGTGAGATGTGACTCCAAAATCTTGTGCTGTCCCACGCTTACATGGCCACAGAGCCCTCTTTTCCAGGGAGCATCTCGTGTTCATAATGTTCCATGAAACACAAGGAACCAACATGTGGCTTCTGTTTAAAAGAAAACCAAAGGGGTCCCTTCTAGTTTATTAACTCGTGTTTGTACAATTCTGCATTTTTTTATTAACAGTTTTTAATTTCTTTCTTTCTAGATTGAATCATTAAAGAAAAAGGTGCAGCAGAAACAGCTCTTAATACTGCAGCTTTTAGAAAAGATATCTTTCTTGGAAGGAGAGGTAAGAAACTGTGTTTCTTTAAGCTGGTGTCTTCCCTACCATTATATTTTATGTTGCTGAGCCTACCACCGACACTTAATTAAAAATATGGCTATTTCCTGGCCTTATAAAATTGATTGAAGGTTAACTGCCAACACTGAAAATGAGGTTCTGACAGCTAGTTTTTCTTTACCACCTGACTCTCCTCATTCCTGATTGCTGTGCTCACCCTTGCTTTTTGGCTCTCATTTTTCTTGTTCAAGAATTTTCTTAGCAAGTCGGATAAGCTGTTGAACAACAGTGATAATTTCCCACATTTATGTAGTGCTTCATACTTTTGTGAAATATTTTTCATGCACATTCCTCACATGGTTCTCTCAGCAACTCTAGGAAAGGCAAGACAAGGATCATTATCTTTATATTAACAAATGTTTTAAAAGGAGGCAGGTGGCTTTGCTCAAGATCACCCAGCTTAGTTAATGACAGAGCCAGGCTGAGAGAAGTGTTCCTAACCAGTGCTCTGCTGTGACATTGAGTCAGCAGGTTTAGAGGTGACTTAATTTCACCTGAAACTTTCAAGATATTTAGTCTTCCTGATGAAAAAGTTACTTTGGAGATTTGGTGTAGGTTCCAGAAAAGGAAATTATGGATTTGGAAGAACCTGAAGAGCTTAGGCATTAATAGGAGAAGCCAAAATCTATTTGCTCTGAATGCTCTTTATTAACAACTTGGCACTGAGCCTCTTCCTTCTGAGCCTCATGAATCTCTCCTTGTCTCTGCTCAACATAGTTCTTCCCCAGAGGGAGACAGCCCTGGAGAGAATGATGAAGTGAGGAAACAGGAAAGAAACGACATTTGTTAAGCACCTGGTATCGTTGGATGTTGTTAATTGCTTTCCACATCCTTTGTAGAACATAAGAGGTTAAGAGCAGAATAGGACTTGCCCAAGTTGGAACCCTAGATCTGCCTCTTACGAGCTGGGCGACGCTGGGGGAGTTTCTTATAACTAGAACAGGAGGATGGTAATTGCACCTACATGTGTGTGACTGTGCAGTAAGGATGCATAGAAAATGCCTGGCATGTTTATTAAGAGGGATGGCTTATGAATTAGATTATATTTCTCCCATTTTATAGATGGGGAAACTGAGGTTCAGGGGCATTAAGGAACCTGTTCAAGGTGATAATAGAAATGGGTAAGACTGAATTCAAAGCCTGGGCTCTTAACTGCCGTGTTTGTAGGAGGGACAAACTGTTTTCATTTATTCTGTTTCGGGAGCTCCCTATAAAAGTCAGGACCAGAAGTCCCTCATGGCCCACAGGGACCTGGTAGCAGATTCAAGCCCAAGGAGTCTCAGGGTCCTGACAGCTGAGTAAATGGGTTTTTGCCCCGTCCCTCTCCTGCCTTCCCCTCCACAGTCCCTAGGTCCAGCTCCATCCTTACAGATGGCCATTTCTGAGATTGCCCTGTGAAGTCACCATTCCCTGTGGGCAGAATCAGACCTTCCCCCAGTGAGATCAGAGAGTGAGGGCCCTGGTGCAAGCCCATGGGTCCAGAGAGAGGGAGGCTCCAGCAGAGCGGAAGGAGAAGCTGACAGGAGGCACAGCAGGTCACCCAAGTAGTGTCCACCAGCCCTCCCCTCCCCCCGACTGTGCCACTCAAGCCAGCTCTACTAGTAGATGATGAAATATACGAGGGGATGTTATGCAGAGAGAACAGCCTAATGCACGTGTATGCTTTAATGCTTCATTTCTTTTTTCTTTTTTAATTTTTTTTAAATGTTCATTTATTTTTGAGAGAGGCAGGGACAGAGACAGAGTGTGAGCAGAGGAGGGGCAGAGAGAGAGTGGGGGGCACAGAATTGGGAGCAGGCTCCAGGCTCTGAGCTGTCAGCACAGAGCCCGATGTGGGGCTCGAACTCACGAACTGTGAGATCATGACCTGAGCTGAAGTCGGAGGCTTAACCGACTGAGCCTCCCAGGTGTCCCTGATTCTTCATTTCTTAAACTCCTTTCTTGTCCAGACTCTGAGATGTAGATATTAGTCCACATAGTTTATTTGGTAGGTGATCCCAGGAAGCCCCAGTAGAGGAGGGGGAAGTTGAGTCAGGGAAAGGCCGAAAGCCGATAATGGGTGCCTTGCTGAGGACATTGCCACCGTGGGCACCTGCAGCTCACTTTCCTTGGGGGTCTCTAGGAGGTGCTGTGCAGGGCTCTGAGTTATCCTTGCCAAAAGGTCAGAAACCTGGGCATTTCGCCACTAACTCCCATCTGCCACTGGTTGAGGCCTGCTCCTAGGGGAGCAGGGGGAGCAATTGTGGTCTGTCTCGGCACAGCCACCTAGACTGCGGTGGTTAGAGGAAGCCCCCAGGAAAAGTCACAAGTGCCTGTCAGGAAATGGATATGAGCGGGACCAGCAATGTCTGCTGTGTATATCCAATAAGCAAGACTTTGAGAGCCCGTTTTCCTTGAGAATTTAAACTGATGGTAAATTTGTTTGACTCAATTCCCATAAACTATTTAAAATCCACTACAAATGTAGTATGGCTAATTCCTCTTGATTACTTCCTACATCCACTTAAACAGCAGGTAACACACACACACACACACACACACAGTTACACAGTGATAAGATTTAATAATACATTTATACTTGAACTTTTTCTAAAATATATAAATATCTTGGACTTAATTTATTTCTTCATTGTTTGTTGTATATATCTTCCCAGGGCTGTTGTTTTAGTTATTTCAGTGTTTTCTTAGAGTTAACATTGTAACACTTT